GTAGGCACAGTGCAGTACAGAATTTCATGGGATATGACTTTAAAGTTCCAGGAAACTATATCTAGGAATTAAAATTGACAAGCATCTTCCTACAGATACAACAGACTCCTCAGATGATTTACTAAAACTGGAGAGTGCAAATTTCTGCTGCAGCTCTGCATAGAAACCAATCAGCTTCCATATTTTTGATTTTTGTCAAAGTGTAATTGAACAATGTGAAGCTGATTGGCTACCATGTAAAGCTGCGCCACATTTTGCACTCTCCAGTTTTAGTAAATAAACCCTAGTGTATCCTACAACACAGCCACACTCCTGTTTCTGTCTTCCACCACACAATCAAGTCCCCAGAACTCCTATAGTACTTGTTACACTCCAGCACTAAAGATGGCACTTCTCCAGCAATAAAGATGGCACTTCTCCAGCAATAAAGATGGCACTTCGTGCACACTGTGCAAGGGCAGCTTCCGGTGGGAAGGAGATCATGGACGAACCAGTGAGTGCAACCTTGAGCAGCTCCCTTCCTGTTGCTGGTTTAGTAACTGGAAGAAGCTCTCTGTGTGAAAGAACGCAAACGAATCGCGATGAGTAATGCAGGGGAAGAAGAGGAGGCGGAGGATTATATGTCCGATAACTTCATCAACTCATTGTAAGCAGAGCACGGTTCAGTCTTCTATGGGGGCGCCCAGCTAAACCAGACCTGTTTGTAGTGAACCTGCCTGGAGAGCAGTGCAGATCAGACAGGGCAGTTTCAGCAGATGGACCTGCATGGCTATAGCCTATTATTATTCTTTTTACAATATGTACATTCACCTGTATGTGGTGGGCTTTCAGTAACTCGGAGCTAAGTGGAAAATGACAACAGAAATTAACTACTTGCCCTCCAGAAGATTTACCCCCCCTTCCTGACCAGGCCATTTTTTGTGATACGGTGCTGTGTTATTTTAACTGACAATTGCGCGGTCATACAACGCTGCACCCAAATTAAATATATGTCCTTTTTTTCCCCACAAATAGAGCTTTCTTTTGTTGGTATTTGATCGCTTGTGTATTTTTTTATTTGTTGCGCTAAAAACAAAAAACCACCAACAATTTTTGAGAGAAAAACAATTTTTTTTAACTTTTTTAAAATTAAACATGTCCAGTAAAAAAAAATTAAAAAGTCAAATTTCTTCATAAATTTAGGCCAAAATGTATTCTGCTACATGTCTTTGCTAAAAAAAAAAAAAAAAAAAAAAAAATCCTGTGTAAATTAATTGGTGTACGTGAAAGTTATAACGTTTACAAATGGCGATATATATACTGGAATTTGTTTTCTTTTAGTAGTAATGGGGGCGATCAGCGACTTATAATGGGACTGCGGCGGGCATTTTGACACTGTACTAATGATGCTGGGCAGGAAGGGGTTAACATCTAGGGCAATCAGAGGGTTAACTGTGTGCTGTTTCACTGTGAGCTTTACACTGTAAGCACACTGCTTTGTATGGCTCTGCTATGCAGAGATCTGTTGTTTATACACAGATCTCTCCCCCGTCGGAGATACTCGTAGGTGCCAGCAAGAAATCACCGGCTGGGACCCGGTGATTGACAGCCAAGGCCGCAAATGGCGGTGCGTGTGCCCCCTACCCAGAACCTCCAAATCACGTGTATATATACATAATTTTGTGCACCCGTGCCTCCCTGTAGCAGTATTTTTGCTATAGGGCAGCGTGGAAGCTGTTAAAATAGAACTATAGGCAATTTGTTTTCATTTTGGATAGAGTGAGGTCGGCCATACACTGTTTGAATCTTGGCTGGTTCAGCAGGGACTGGCCGAGATTCGAACCGTATATTTGCAGGCTGAATATACCAAGTTGATCGATCAACCAGCCTAACAGATTTTACATGCAATTATCACTAGCAATAATCATTGTCTGCTCCCCCTTCCCCCACCGCTGGTAGAATACAATCGCTTGGTGGGAGGGATTCCTCTGTCAACACTGTCTGTGTATGGGCTGCTTAAGGGTTATAACCCCTGTCATTTACAAATTAGTTTATTTTTTTTTGCCATCTGTGTCCCATTGGAGATTTACCTTCACTTCCTGTTCCATAGCCAGAGTGAAAAGTGAGAGGAAATACCTGCAAATTAAGGGAACCTCACAGATGCCTGCTAAAGTGCCTCCAAACCTGGAAATACTAGCAGTATGGGGCTACCAATGACTGACCCTCCATCACTCCTTGGTTTGGGTTACTCTGCCTGCCAGTTACATTTAGCCCTTTCCCACCCACCCTGGCTTCCTTTAAAAAGGTTCTGAACAGCAGGAATGCAAGAAAGATCATCTGATCATGTGCCCACTGTGATTTGTGGTCACAATGGCCACATGATTAGGAGCTGGGCCTTCTGGCTTCCAGCTGTTAGGGGAAAACTTTGCGGTCTTCCAATCATTAGTGCTGTGTTAGTGCTTTGTCCTTGTGCTGGGCGCACTCAGTGGAAGCAGTTTCAGCACAGAAGCATTGACCACTAAGCAATGCCTATATGCCACCTGTGGGTGGTAAAGCCCAGCCTTTTGGCACCTCTGCGCATGTGTTAAGTGGTTGTAAAGTTGATTTCTAATGGCTTGTTCACACTAGCTTTGCTTTTGAAAGGCAGTGAAGAAGTGTTGCATTGCCTTCTTACTGACTGCTTGAATCCTGGACTAGCGCACTGAAACGGTGTGCACTGCATGCAGTTGAGAGGAGCCCCACTCACTTAAATGGGATGCGTTTGGTGGGTAGTAGCACCCACCAAAAGTGACAGGGGGTATAATTCCTGCTGTGAAGCAAAACATTCTGGCCACACCATGTGTACAGCCACTGCTGCTGCAGCTAAAGGAGAAGCAGTGCGGGGGGCAGTAAGAACATGGCTCAGTTGCAAACTTTAATGCCCCCCCCCATCCCCATCATCTAGTGTGAATGAGCCTTGAGCATGGGCGTACTGTCAGGGGTCGCAATGGCCCTTGTGGCATCCCTGTTACTTGGGTTTCCATCTACTCAGCAGGGGTTGCCAACCCAACAATCAACAAAGCTGGCTGGGAGTTGTGGTTGGCTACACACAGGTATGTCCCACCTGCCTCCATTTCCGCCCACTTCACTCAGCAAGTGGTGTTGAGGACGGCTGGATCTAGGATTGGTGCACTTTCCCCTCCATGGATGCTGTGCCCAGTTCAGTAAGTTCCTCCCCTCCCCCATCCTCGGACTGCACTCAGTCTCACACAGGACAAGCAGCACTGCTGCTCCTAATGCACTGCACACAGCTAAGATTGGATTCTTGTACAGACAATCTGCAAATTATGTAGCTGGCTGTTGCAGCTCTGAGCTATGCAATCCTCAGATCGTAAAGGCAGCAGAGCTGCAATAGTCAGCTACACACCATGCAGATTGTCTGTACAAGAATCCAATCTTAGCTGTGTGCAGTGTGGGGAAGAGCAGCACTACTGAGAGTCCTGCCAGTAGTGACCCCATCCCCTGCCCTACTGACCCCTGTTCCATGCCCTGCTACCCCTTTTTCAGCCCTGCCCAAACAACCCTCCCCCTCGGCCCCTGTCCTATGCTTTGCTGACCCATGTCCTCTTCCCTGCTGACCTTGTCCTATGCCCTGTTGACCCATCTCATGCCCCGCTGACCACCCTTGTCCTCTTCCCTACTGGCCCCATCCTATGCTCTGTCCCTGCCCCTGTTGACTACTCTGCTGAGCCCTATTCTCCACCCTAGTGACCCCTGTACACTCCCACGCTGACCTCCCATTATCTGCCCCATCTAGAATTTTCTTTGCTATAATTTAGTACAATAAATATATAATATAATATAATTTAGAACAATTTTTATGCTTAAGAACATATTTCATTTTTTTTTTTTTTTTTTAACCGGATTGTATATTTATTTTATTTTCCCCATGTTAAAAAGCATGCAAGAGCTTAGATGTTAAAGTGGTTCTAAAGGCAAGACATTTTTTTTACCTTAATGCCTTCCCTGCAGTAAGGTAAATCATGTGCCAGTAGTTGTATTGTCCCCCCAGCTTCTTGTATATTAACCTATTCAGTACTGTGCCCGTCTGCAGTGATGCTGGTATCTGTTTCTCTTCTGATTTGACTCAGAGGCAGCAGCAGGAGACGTCAAAACACCTGCTGCTATCGATCAAATCCTGTGAGGAGGGAGCAGGGCGTTCAGTGAAGCCACGCTGTGTGTGTCTATAGATGCACACAGCAGGGCTCGGGAGTGCGCACACAATGTGTGCCCCCAATGAACATGGCTTGCTCTGGGCACACATAGAAAAGGAGGAGCTGAGAATGCTGGTGGAGGACCCCAGAAAAGGAGGTTTGGGGGCCACTCTGTGCAATACCATAAGTATAAACCTGTTTATTAGGGGAGAAAAAGCCTTTAAAATCGCTTTAATGTTCTCCAAAGCAATCACATTATTTTGATTTTGTGTATCAGATTACAGTATATAATATATTATTATAAGATAAAGCACATCACCTTACTATAAATTAAAATAACCTTTGCAGTCCACCCATACATTTTCTTCTGTAATCTGGAAAAACACCCTTCTTACTATCTCTGTCCATCTCACACAGAAAATGTACACAATGCAAGTACCAGAAAGTTTCTCAGGCATTAGAAAACCTGCTTTTTAAGTCTGAATGTGATTGTTGATGCAGAAAACAGACAGAAGGTTGCACAGTTTGGACTTCAGAATGTACACTCCCTCTGACCCTCTGTGATTTGGTTGTGCTCAGAATGATGTAAATATTCTGACTTCATGGTCGCAGTGTTTATTGGGGGGCATTAGTTTACCGAATAATTCAGTTGTTGAAGGGCACTTCTGTTAAAAGTTCAAAGATTAAAAATGCATGGCACATAGGTTGTATATATTTTTAAAGATGTTTATTCTCTTTCATTTCAGAAAAGATGTTCGGCCAGGAGTACCTGTACCAAGAAGTGTCAAGGCATCCTATCAGAAGGAAGAACAGCAAAAAGAAAGGAACATGAAGAACAGACAGAAAAGCTTGAAAGAGGTGGAAAAAGAGAGACGAGACACAGTTCTCAATGACCCTCTTAGTAATGAAAACAAAGGCTTCGCTTTACTTCAGAAGATGGGCTATAAAACAGGTCAAGCCCTTGGCAAACAAGGTGACCATTTCTTAGATACATTTTTGAAATACACCTTGAGTAGGACCTCATCCAATTTGTTTATATTTTACCGTCATTTGTTTAAGGTTATTTCATAAGGAAAAGAGAGAACTGAAGTCTTGTAACCTATTAACAACAGTGATATGACTTTGCACACATGTGTTTAATAATTGTAGGCCTGCAGAATACTTGAAACCCCCAATACATATATTTTCTGAAAGCAGAGACCGTAGAGTCCGTAAAATAGTGGTAGCTCCGGGTTTTTGTCACATGACATTAGTGCAATTGTTTATCAAATGCAAAATTTCAGTAAAAAACACACTAAAGTTAATTTTAGGGTGCACAAATGCAATATATCACCAAATATTTTGCTAAAATTTAAAAGATGATGTTGCACCAAGTAAATGTCAAACCTTAAAATTATGTGTCTGTAAAATGGTGATAAGCTTGGGTACTCTAAATTTTTCCTAGGTGATGCTTTAAAAGGCCCTATAGGTCATCCGTTTAGCATTTGCTTTTTTGGGGACAAGTTCTCTTTTGCCATTGAAGCTAATGGAGAGTAGATTGTCCTGGATTAGCTTCTTTCTCTGCAAGAGTGGCCAGAGAAAGTAACATAAGAAACCGGAAATGGTTTACACGTTACTTCCTGGTTCTTAGTAGGAAGGGCTGATCAGCAAACATGTTTTCTCATTTCCCTCCCCTCTACCCAGAGGCACCTTCCATTCCAATCCCGTGACATTAATTGGGATGAGTGGAATGTTGCTGAGATGTTTCGAAGTGATCCAACTGCTGTACTACCTCCAGATTGCTTACAGCTGACAGTCGGCTTGTCAGATTCAGACCTCGCTCACATGGGTGTACTTCAGTGGACACGTGTAAGAGGGGTCTGTTTGCCTACACGGAATGCATAGGTGTTCAATGCTTTTGCATGTGGGCAGGCCTATTCATGTCTGTTAGGAGCTGCACAGACACAGCCGTTGCTCCCAATTTGACATCTGTGTGGGCTTGTGTCTCCTAACTTGCGCTGTCTGCATTTTGTGACATACATGCACTAGAATGTCAAATTGGGAACAGTGGCTTGGCTGTGTCCATGCAGCTGCTGCTACTATTATACATGAATAGGAATGCCTACACACAGATGCTTCGAACACATGGGCAAACACAGCTCTTGTACAGGTGTATACTTGAGTATGCCCGTGTGAACCAGGCCTAAATCTAAACAAACCGACTGTCATACACAGGTCTCACTGCAGGTGAGTTGAGGTCCACTAGCACACAATCACATGCTTGCCTCAGCATTCCGAATATTATGGAACTTGCTCTGTCCAGACCTGCTCTGCCTCCTGGCTACCAACTTGCTGCTATAGCTGTGCTCCCACCCTGCTGCTTCAGCTGCACTGCAAGGATGTAAGCTCAGACTCTCACTGATGTAAAGTTGTACTCTGATGTGGACCCTGATGTAATGGGGGACCCTAGCATGTAAGGCACAGCTCTGATGGGGACCCTGATGTAAAGGGGGATTTTGGTTTAGACTCTGATGAAAAAGGTGCAGACGGAATTTATTTTTGTTCAGTTAACTTTATTAATTGCTCACGTTTTTGGAGTTTCTTTGCTTTGTTTTACTGAAGTTCTTTCCCTGTTGTTCTAAATCATATCGTGCAGATTACAAAAAAAAATCTCCACGTAACACATAATAATACATTTAAATTTTATGCATTCATTTTACAAAACTTTTTTTTTTTTTTTTTGTTTCTTTGCCTGCAAACATATGTAAAATATACAGTGTGGCCCTGATTGCCTCAGTGTTTGTTTATTTCCTCCAATCCTTCCCCCATCATTATGGCTGAGATCCTTCTGAGCACCCTTTTTCATAGGCGATTTGTAGTTCCACCTCACTTTCACAGTACACTGGAAGGAAAGGAAGTCCAAGATCCTGATCACATAGAGTAGCTTCCAATATTAGAGAGGCCTGGTACTGTGACATTCTTACTGTGTGTTTTACTACTTCTCTAGATCTGTTAATCACAGTTCATAGTCACAACAATAGAGATTAAAACAGGTTCACTCTCACAGGTTCATCAGCTAAACTGTACTTAACACCAGGAGGAAGGAGGCTTAGGGCCCTTTCACACACTGATCAGTTTTTGATGCCTTCCTATTGACTTACAATGGAAGGTGCTTTTGAAAAACTGCACCAAAGATGCAGCATGTAGTGCACAGCGCACCTGCAGTGTGAAGAGTTCCATGGGATTTAAAGAGATAGATTATTCATGCATTTTCTTCTGCTCTTTATACCCTAAAAATGCATCAAAAACTGATCAGTATGAAAGGGTCCTTACTCTCAACTTGGGGAGACAATAAGAACCTGTATGCAGGCAGAGTGTTGGATCCAGGCCTTATCCTAGACACAAGGCAGAAATTATTTGGAGACACACTCGGGTACCTGCACTTTACTAATAACGTTAGTTAATAAACGAATCTTTAACCACTTCCCGACCGGCCGTTGTATATAAACGGCCGGACGGTGGCACTGCAGGGTCGGGTGGCCGTTTGTAAACGGCCTCCCCGCACCCTGCTTGTGCGCGCTCCCTGGGAGCGTGCAGCACCGCGATCCGGTGCCCGCTGTGTCCTCCGGACACAGTGAAACACCGATCGTCGGACGGGACCTCTGTACGAGGTCCCGATCATGTGATCACTGATTGGCCAATCAATGATCACATGCACAGTAGTAAGCAAGATGTAACTTCTGACATCATTGCTTACTACGTGTGAAATCTGTGAATGATCACAGAGGTCACATGGTACAAGGCTATTCACAAAAGTGGTGAATAAATGCCACCAAAATAAAGCTTTATCTGTCTCAAAAAAATGGTAAAAAATTCATTTGCGTACAGTGTTGCATGACCGTGCAATTGTCATTCAAAGTGTGATAGCGCTAAAAGCTGAAAATTGCCCTGGTCAGGAAGGGGGTAAAAGTGTCCGGTCTGGAAGTGGTTAAATGACAAGTTCACATTAAGCTAAAAGTAAAGAAAGCCTTTCATCGTGTCTTCATACAGGGTTGATTATCCCCACACCTGCCCCTAATAGGGGCTCTGATTATAGCCTCATGTAAGTTTCATAGTTAGTCTGGTTAAAATAAGACATAAGTCCATCTAGTTCAACCAAAAAAAAGAAAAACAATTATACAGTCCTATATACACAATTCTATACCCAAAGTTGATCCAGAGGAAGGGAAAAATGTAGACTACATGTAGATGTAATAAGTGAATATACCGTTGTGATAAATTAATGTCTACACCAATGCCCAATCTAACCCCAGAAGCCAAACATATACTTTCTCCTACAAAAGTCCAAAATGCACAGTCCAAGTCCTTCTCAGCGTCTCAATGTCCCATATAACGTCTCACTATAAGGGTTATATAGGACATTGAGATGCTGAGAAGGATTTGGACTGTACATATAGATGTAGTCAGTGACTTATGCTGCCTCTAAGGAGGAATGTCATGGCAACAAATAAATGTATTGGTCACGTAGCCTACCAATGAAATAGACCATGTACATACTTTAGCTAGTCAGTTCAAAAGATCAATTCCAGTTAAAACTTTTTTTGGCTTTGTATACAATGAATTACATCTGTCGCCTTTGGAAAGATTTCCATTAACTTGTGTGTGTGTTTTACACCTCTCGCTTGGACTGGAAGTGAGGGCAAATCTCTCCAATGGGGACACAGACAGTGAGACAGTGACAGAGGTGCCTGTACTTGTCATGTGGAGATTTCTGTTCACTTTCAGTTCTGTCTGACCCTTGGCAAATTTTACACAGACGATAATTTAAAACTAAAAGCTGAAGCTTGATTTTTACAGGCACTGCAGTAGAAAAAAATATCTCATGTCCTACCGACTGGTTCCTGGAGACATCTTCTATCCACAAATGCCCAGTCTTCTTTACAGCTCTGAACCTCTGGATGTGCAACTAATTCCTTCAGGACTAAAGCTTGGCACAAGATGAATTTTATTAGAAGTATTTTGTTTTAGGAACGTTTCTTCAATTGTCTACTCCTCAATCACCGTTAATTTTTGATGATGAGAGAGTCCATTTTTTCCAACATTGTCAAAAGTAAACGAAATTTTGGAGTGCTTTCCAACGACATTTGTAAAGTCTTCAAATGTACTGAGAATTTTTGTATGAACGTTCATTTTGGAAATCTACTAATGAATGACCAGCTAAAGCTTGCAATGCATTTCAGAAGCTCTTAATGGTGGCACACCACCATAGATGGATAAAAGACAGAATCCTCTCCCTACTCACGGACCATGTTACATTCAATGAAATCAATTAATGGACTTTTATCAGTGAAGGAAGGGGTGGCCTGCCATCGGGAGCATCTGAAATGCATTGCAATCCTATACGCAAACTATATACACCCGGGAGTTGCAAGCAGTGACGAGGACTAGGAATCACAGAAGATTTCTACAGGAACCATCAGCTTGCAGGACATAAGACATTACAGATAAGTGACTATAGCATTAGCTAAAAGAAGTCAGTGAATGTGTAAGAATGTACTGCTTTAATGATATTATGCTTTCCTACTTTGTATTTATAGCATTATTTTGTGGAATTTACAGTATTTTAATCATACAGACACTGCACTTTTTGCTGGTTTTAAATGGGGGTATTGATTTTACTGAGTCTTCCTAGGTGGATAAGAGTTTTTGCTTATCTCTTGCATCCTCACACTGCTCCCTGCTGGCATTAGTTTCTCATCAGCAGCAGCAACAGCTGCCCAGGTTAATTCCAAAAGAGAAAATGCTGTTATCAGCTTATAAACTGAAAGTTTATATTTAATTAGTTGCTGTGGAGACTTGGCAACACACCAGGCACCAGTTAGGCAGTATGAATAAACAATCAGATGGGCAACTGCAATTTAAGTTGAGCACCACACAGTATCACTATACAGCATGAAGCCTGACCTCTAAGGTGGCTGTGGCCATTAAACTGGC